GATGTGTTATGGTGATGTGTTATGGTGATGTGTTATCGTGATGTGTTATGGCGATGTGTTATGATGATGTGTCATGATGATGTGTTATGGTGATGTGTTATGATGATGTGTTATGGTGATGGGTTATGATGATGTGTTATGGTGTCATGTTACTGAAGTGTGTTACTGTAGTGTGTTATGGTGTTATAGTGTCATGGTGCTAGGGCTTCAGGTGGGTCAAATAAAGGCAGGTAAGTCAGGTGTAAAATCGTCTCGGATGGTCTTCTTAAAATCTTACGAGAAGGATCAGAGAGAGAGAGAGAGAGAGAGAATAAGGGATAAAAACTTAATCTAATATTGTGGTTAAAAAATATAGTTTAATTTCTTGTCTTTTAATTATTTTTGTAAGGTTCTTGAAGACAAAAGACAGCTAGAGAGATGGGCGGAGAAGTGGGTGGAAGGTGGTTGGGGAAGTGGATGGGGAAAGTGGGTGGAGAAGTGGGTGAGGGAAGTGGGTGGAGAAGTGGGTGGGGGAAGTGGGTGGGGGGGGGAGAAGGTGGAGAAGTGGGTGGGGGTGGGTGGGGAGGTGGGTGGGAGTGGGTGGGGAGGTGGGTAGGTGGGTGGAAGTGGGTAGGAGGTGGGTGGGGAAGTGGGTGGGGAAGTGGGTGGGAATTGGGTGGGAATTGGATTGGGTGGGGAGAGTGGGTGGAGGAGTGGGTGGGCAGTAAAGAAGGGGATTAACAGCACTATATATATACAGCTTGAGATCATGTACTGTCTGTCTGTCTGTCTGTCTCTTTCAGTATCTCTGTCTCTCTTTCTGTCTAGTATCTACCTGTCTGTCTGTCTAAAGTATCTACCTGTCTGTCTGTCTAAAGTATCTACTGTCTGTCTGTCTAAAGTATCTACCTGTCTGTCTGTCTCAAATATCTCTGTTTCAAGTATCTGTCTGTCTGTCTGTCTGTGTCAAGTACCTCTCTCTGTCTATCTCTCTCGGGATAAGTGACAGTAATTATCTCTTGATCTATGACCTATCGACGTCTCTCTTACTAATGAGACGTGTGTGTGTGTGTGTGTGTGTGTGTGTGTGTGTGTGTGTGTGTGTGTGTGTGTGGTGTGTGTGTGTGTGTGGTGTGTGTGTGTGTGTGTGTGTGTGTGTGTGTGTGTGTGTGTGTACCGTGTTTAGTGTGCGTTAGAAGTGTGTAGGTATTTTCTCTCTCTCTCCTGATGATAACAGATGAGCCAAAGAAAGGAGGAAGAAAGAGGAGGAGGAGGAAGAAGAAGAAGAAGAAAGAAAGAGGGAGGAGGAGGAGGAGGAGGAGGAGGAAGGAGGAGGAGGAGGAAGAAAGAGGAGGAGGAGGAGGAGAAAAGAGGAAAATTTTTATTACATATCTAAAAGGAAATGTCTTGGCAAATCTTCTTCTTCCTTCTTCCTCCAGGTAATTAATATAAGACAAACTAAACTGGGGTAAACTCCCTTGGTCACTGTCAACATCAATTATTTCCCACAGGTGAGTGAACTCCTTTCTGTCTCACCTGGTATTGAGAATGACCCGGAAGATTAGCTCTCTCTCTCTTCTTTTCTCTTCTTTCTTTCTTTTCTTTTTTCTTTTTCTTTCTTTTTCTTCCTTTCAATCCGTTTGTGATGATGATGTTGACGATAAAGAGAGAGAAAAAATAAGATCAGAAATGCAATTGAAGTTCCGGCAGAACTAATTTCCTGGTGTCTGACACGGTGGGTATGTCCCTTGTGTGTGTATGTATGTGTGTATGTGTGTATGTATGTGTGTATGTGTGTGTGTGTGTGTGTGTGTATGTGTGTGTGTGTGTGTGTGTCCTTTCTCTTCCTACTTTCTCCATGACAAACTATGTCACGGCGGGCCATTCTGATGAGACTTTCCTCGTTGTGGAAAAAAAATACTTTGGTTACTTATTTCCCATCAGGGCAGGAAGGAAGGAAGGAAGGAAGGAAGGAAGGAAGGAAGGAAGGAAGGAAGGAAGGAAGGAAGGAAGGAAGGAAGAAGAAAGGAGGGAGAAAGAAGGGGAAGGGAGAGAGAGAGAGAAGAGAGAGAGAGGAGAAAGAAAGAGAGAGAGTCAAATACACCCTGTCAAAAACAAATCACAAACACAATAGACAAACAATAAAAACAAATAAATAAACATAAACAATAACAAACACACACACACAAAAATAATAAACAAACAAAAAAAATCAACAAACACAGCCATCCCGACGAAGGCCTACAAGCTGAAATAATTTTCCGTCAATTGTTGTGTTCAAAAGTGTGGAAGATTAACTGTGTTTGTGTGTGTGTGTGTGTGTGTGTGTGTGTGTGTAGGGGTGAGGATGTTTTATGTATGTATGTATGTATGCGGTGTGAAGTTTACATGCCGATAAATTCCTCAGATGGACACACACACACACACACACACACCACATTACATCTAGGTCATTAAACACCTCGAGCTATTAACAGTCAAACAAACAAAACACTCACTCTGTTTTAATTAAGCTTAGGTG